TTTTCCTCATTTCCACAGCTCTATCTCAGAGGAGGGTGTGCAGTAAACTAATGAAAAAGCAGGCTTAATACAATGTCTCCAGAGTCCATCTGGTAATAATTGTAGCATGTAGCAACCGTAGCTGTGTTTGGATAAAGGTTCGAAATACACGGGGCCCTTTAACGCTCAGAATAAACATGTGCATTTGTATGTGTGTGTGTGTGTTTATGTGGGTACGAGAGACAGAACGGAAGGGGGGGGGGGATCATGTGACTGGTGGGAGAAGACTGTGTGTAACTGTGTGTGTCTGTGCTCACACACATTCTGCTGGCGGGTGATGGGCCAACATAACTACATCTTTTTTATCGTCAGCACAGTGTTTTACGTAGTGGAGAGTCGTTAGGGAACAAGCGGGGGAGGCTGGGTGACCCATGCACTACTGTGACTCAAGCTTGTGTTAGTGGCCTCTGATGACGTGTGGACTGCTATCCAGGCCACACAGCTGGATAAAATGCAGGTGTTTGGATTTGACATCTGCAATACTTTATTACTGATGTAAAGCTAAAGTCACTTCTATCACAACACAGAATATTACTATATATTTCTATATAATATAACATGAAAATAATTTAGCCAGTGGCAAAGTGGTGAACCTAACCAAAACACTGACATTTTGAATACTCCCGTTGGAAAACATCCATCCCTGAGGGGCTCGTAATTAAACACAAGCGCATGTTAAGTGACCCTCGACATGTAGCTTTAAAGCAAAAGCCTCTCAAATCAGGGGCCCCATCCATAAAACATGACTAAAAAGACCAGGCTGGCCACATATCTTCAAGAGGGGACTGATGTCATTTTACAATGGTTTAATTTCAAAGCAAAAACATAAATCAAATAAAAAAATAAAAAAGTTGAATGTCGATATTACAGAAACTTGGGTAACACCCTGGAGAGAGTTGTTGCATCCAGCCAAGGAAAAAGCCATCTGAATGTTTTCTACTTTTGAGCAGCATCCCACCACCACAATGACGTGTACAAACAAGGTAGAAAAAACATTCACCCTTTTCTTATTTTCTCTGTCGGCGATCACTGAAAAATGTACGCATACATTACATAAACCTTTCATTCTTGCATCACTTTTTTTACGTTGGCTTTGGTAGATAACACATCAGTAAGAAGATTTGACAAGAGCAGAGCAACATTGCGAAAATGCATCAGGTGACCAAAAGTTGACATTCAATGACCTGCCATTCGCTCATAAATTCAGTTCTGAGAAGATCGACACGGTGTGATTTTGGTCAGACTAACACAACTATCTTATTTTGTGTCTCTCTGTCTCATGTAAATTAGGTCAGTGATTTAAACCCACTTTTTTACAGAAAAAAAAGTGATTGAGATTGGAAGCAGAACCTACAGGAATTTAAATTGTATAATATAAGGGGTTTATTACATATAATACTTATCTTTATAGAAAATGGCTTTAAATAAACCTTGAGAGGATTCTTGCTCAGTCTTTTCTGCATATCATAAACTCTGCAGTGAAAGTACAAATTAGGTCACGGCTATTAAAAAAGGGCACTTTCAGAAGGTTCTTGCTTTAAACATGTGGTATGGTGAGGCTTGAAATGAAATGTGGTTCCTGCAAATGTTTGAGATGTAACTCATTTGCCAGATGCCAAATTCATAGTACATTTTCCATTCTGCTGTGCTCATGCTGTAGCTTGAAATCTCAGCAGTGCTGCTCTCACAAAGAAGCCATTCAGACGGATTTGTGTGTGACTTAGACATATACACACTCATGCACACTCGCGTATGTGCAGGCACATGCACAGCTTTCTCTCTGTCTAAACTTTTACCGAAGTTGAACTCCCCCAAAACCCAGCAGTGACCGCATAAAAAGCAGTTCTCAGGTTACAAACTCACCAAAAATAGGTCCTAAGTACATAGTAGTGATATCTGATGACGTAGATTATAGTTTAGACTGGTTACACTCATTTGAATGAGCAAAAACACGCACTGACTGTAATAAATTCAGTTCCATGCTTGTGGGAAAAGCAAGAACATCATAAAACAACAACGCACTATGCAAATAAAGTTATTTAGGGTGAATGCAATTGTGTGTATGCATGCATTATGTATGTAGATCTATCCTGAAAGGATATGGGAAAAATGCAAATGTTTGAGAGGGCTCCATTTCCATAATATTTTCCATAAACCTTTCCAAAGCACTGACTCTTTCATAAAAAGTCATATCCATAATGAATATATGCTGAACACGATTCTAATTACCTACATTAAAAAAAAAAACGAAAAGTCACTAAAACTCTATTTTTAAACTTAGAAAATTATCATCATATTGGACCAGCTCTTTTTAAAATATAGGACTTGACCAAAAATGAGCAACAAGTCTGTTTCTGGTGGATTCCAACATGAAATTAGAGATAATAAGCTTTCTCTACTGAAAAAGAAAAAAAAAAAAACTTTCCCTTACTGGAATTAGTGAAAAAAAGAAAACAAACTTGAGAGGACAAGCTCCAAATGCAGTAGATTTCAGAATAAGTAATCTGTGCACAGGAAACAGGCGCTGAGACTTGTGGCGCTAGTGGGCTGAGCAATCAAAACAATCTCTCCATGTTCTGATTGAAGAGAAAGGGACTGACGCCAGACTCTTCAACACACTTTGTCAGAGAGGCAGGGTGGATAGAGAAGGAAGGACCAAACAAGAGTGATACAAGGAGTGACAGGGATTGATAGCAAGAGTGAAAAGACAAAGATTAACGTCCTTTCAAATATTCTTTTCTGCTTACGAATTTCTTTTTTTTGGTCTTGTCTCCTCAACTAGGGCAAGTTTCTAATTTCAGTCTAGCTTTCATGACTCTGTCCTCTTCTGTTATTTATGTCTTTTAAGTAGTCAGAGCAGTGGAGAGAGCGTATGGGATTTTCCCACAGTGCAGCAGGCCCAGGCCCAACCCCCCCCCCCCCCCCCCCCCCACCTACACTCACTCATTTTCTGTTTCTCCCTCAACTCCCTCCGTCTCGTGTCATAGGGGAGATGAGGAAAACCACCCATATTCCACCACCAAGTATTCTGGATGTTAGTTTAATCTTTATCCTTTTCGGTGTTTCACAGACATCAAATATTGTTATGGCAACAGAAAATGACTGAAAGGTTTAAAGGAAAAAGACAATGGCTGCTTTTTAATTCAAACTTGCAGGGGAGGACAAACTAATGAAACATTCTACAACTCAGTTTCCCCAAGGTCATTAAACTGTATCTACCCGAAAAAGGTGCAGATCGTGAACGGGGTTTTTCGAAGAGTTTTTGTCTCATCCCACCTGATTGTGTGATTTACCTCCCCTGTACACAAAGCACTGACAGGTGTGAGGACCTTTAAAGCCTTTGCCCATACATGTACAGAGACTGTTGTGCTACAAAGAGAAGTGGAGCTGTAAGACTTCATTCTGGAAGTCACACCAACACCTGCCCCGCTGCCAACAGTGCTGCATCACAAAAAAACAGACCTCTCCTCTGTGGTTTCTGAAAAATGTATGAAGTCATGTGTATGAAAATGCAATTGTTCTATGGTGAGCTACATCCCCCACACTGTGTGAAGAGGAGACCTGTGATGAGACCATCTGCCGGCATTATGAAATAACTTGCACACTAAGCATAGAAACAAGTAAGTCCAACCACTGAGGACATACAGCTACTGACTCCAAAGCTGAGGGACTTGTTGCTCAGACATGCTGCTAACACTGCCTCAACAGAAGTTTTGTAATTCTATATTGCCATGAAAAAACCACCCTTAAACGTGTTCTGTCACTGTTGTTTTCTATCTTTCGTAAGTTTATCTCCTTTCTCTTTCCACTGTTTCCCACATTTCTTTGCTCATCATGCCAGGTTTGCAATTAATAATTCAGCAAAATGACTAATTGAATAAACGGGATTAGCATCTGGGGGCAGGGGGCTTTAAAGCCATAAATGCTTCCATTGGCAAAGCAAAAATGCCTGGCACAACAGAGAATTGGGACCATCTTCATGTTTGCCATGACACTGAACGGGACATGGTTAAAAAAAATGAAAAAAGACTGAACCCTTTCAGTGTTGGCTTTGATTGTTTACTCAAAAACCAACCAAAGCTGGCACAATGCAACCCCAATGAGTGCTTTTCCAATAGAATGCTGCTTCAGCAGGGTCACATGTGGCAACAACGCCTTTGTCTATGGTGACATGAATCCTCCACAACAAATTTAGAAAAATAAGCGCCGGTCAGCTGAGCTTTTAAACCCTTTTCTAGAGTGTTTCCAGAAATGTTCAACACACACAAAAGTAGGTTAGCAGCCAACTCTTTCTTCAGCCCACACACAGAAAACATTACTAAACACAAAAAGCATGACGGCAACATCCCTGTCACATTTGGTTCCTTTGTACAGAAGTAAAGCCAAATAAAAATTCTCTTCAAGGCAACTGCGGAGTAAAGGGCAACTCTTCTCCTTAGTTGCCCTAAAGCTGTGATGATGACAATCCACTTTTCTAAAGTGTAATATGAGTTGATAAGGAGCTTGACCTCTTGCAAAAATATGTACAGACACAAAGCACCTTGCTGTGACATATGAACAGCAAACTACTGATTTAATAAGGAATAAAAAAGTCATTTCTGAGCACAAGTGTCTGACTTCTGCCAAAAGGTAAATAAATAAAAGCATGAGTGGAAACAGAATTTCTGAAAGAATTTTTTTTTTTACATGTCTTAGAAAGTTCACACTCCATTTAGGCAGCCCTGAATCACACACTTGGTTTTTAACCATCAATTTTTCACTGTTAAATCTGGTATGTAGTGGTGATTGAGTGTAAGGCTGTTCTGGTGCGGTTAGAGAAATAAACTGCCAGGAAACCCTGCAAACTGTTTCAAATTCGGCTCGGAAGTTAGTTGGTTTCCATCACAGTACCACTGAAAGCTAAAAAGGCAGAAAAAAGCAGTTTTGTGTACAGGCGTCTCCCAGTGTGTGTTGGGATTTACCTCTGCGGCCTGCGTCTCCTGGTGAAGCAGAGTCAGCCCCGTTAGGTCCTCCAGAAAAGAGTGGGAAGAATTAAAAACTTTGGACAGAAAGCTGAACCCCTCTCTCTCATAGTGCTCCAAAACCTGGATGAGAAAATAAATAAATAAATAAACATAAGATACAAGCATAAGATGTTTTGTTACAAAACTGACAACTGACAGAAGTTGCTGATTACATCAAAAGTCATTTTAGGTCAACTGTGGAACATACTGCTAAAACAAAGAAAAGAGAAAAAAAAGATAAAGATTCACTGCCTTTTTTTTGACGATCCTTTGAGGACATTTGTGATGACCGAAAAAAAAAAAAGGTCAAAGAATTAAATAAAACTTTAACTGGTATGTTTGAGTAAAATATAACATATCTTTATGTTTTTCAGAAACACATTGTGTGGAGAGTCTGCTATACATCGGGACTGGAGACCGGGTATTAATACAAAAGAAGTTTGAAATAAGGTTCTTTGCACACAACAAATTGTAAAATGAACCTTTTACCTCTGTAAGACCACAACTCAGCACATCCACACCAACACTTGAGTGTTTCCCTTGATCTTCCACCAGTAGGGACTTCAAATATCCCCACCATATCTCCAAAGCCCACCCAGACACACAGACACACACGCACACACACAGACACACACACACACAATTGCATCCTCTGCCCTCCTGACTACCTTCCTAAGATTGGCCAAGCCTTTCATGGATGCCCGCAGGCCTTGGTCTGCAGGTGTAGAGTTACCACAGCTTCAGACATCAGCATCACTGTCTGTCTGAGAGAGTGTGCTTGTGTGTGTACGCACATCGACCTGGCGTCTCGTCTAGAGGCCAGACAAACCTCACACAATGCACACTGATGCTACCCTCATTCATCTTTTCAGCCTCTCTTTTCTGTCTTTCCTTTTCTTTTCTTTCTTTGATTCTCCACTTCCATCCACAGGTTCTGTCACATGAGCTGCCACAAACCAAAAGTCACTTTGTTGAAATATAGCTGTACGTGACTCAGAAAGCAACCGGATCTTTCTGATGAAACTGTGAAAAAGTTACTCACTGGTATGTATAAAAAGACTTATTGCATATGTATGTACTGATGATGAAGAAAGTGACAAAAGGTAAAACAATAAGTTCAACTCAATGAAAGAAGACAAAAAACATGAGTAAAAATGGGAATTTTGACTAACTACCAGAAGCTTTATGTTTTGAACAGGCACTGCTTGTGTTGGCAAAAATGTTCATTACATTGAAGAATTAAATATCAGCATGATGTAGGTGTTTCTAATAAATACGCGAATAATCCATGAGTAGAAAAGGTTTTTTACCATAACCCTGACAATCCGCTAATTACTCATGACTCAGCTTTACACCAAAATTCCCTGAATACTTTGGCTTTACCATCACACGCATACTAGACTATGAGTAAACAGCATGACTATGACCTAATGACTTTCCCATGTACGTCCAACTTGGTCATGGAGTCAGGCTGCCTTTTACACTTACTAATTCCATGATCACTTATGCTTGAAGGCTTTGGGCTCTTATGATACTTCAGGGGAGACAGCACAGTGCACAGTAAGCTCAGCTCACAATCAGTCATTTACAGAAAAAAATCATTTGGACACATATGACAATGTGTGAGCCAAGCTTTTATTTAGTGCATAATTGTTAAAAAAAACTGAGAGACTTGAGCCCATACAGTCATTAGGAATTAAGCAAGTGTGAGTCCGTTTTTAAACATTGCCTTTTAAAAAAGTATTTGCTCAGTTATTGACTGATACTGTGCCATTTTGTATCTGCAGAGTTCACACACTACACTTTTTAGAGTGTACAAGTAGCTGTAGTAAGAGGAGTTCAAGGCGCAGGTTTAGACAACGCCACGTCAACTGTGATTTACTCTTTGGCATGTAGTTTTATTGGCTTGTATCCCCAAAGAGAGCTAGGAAACACACACACACATAAATACACACCACACATAAAGTGAAAAGCCCCAACTCTACAGGAACTGCTCCAGCCCAGACAGGGGCTGAATTGTTTTGTTTCCATAGTGACCTGGCAGCACACAGCTGACTGCGGCAGAAATACACACAGACATGCACTTGCTCACACACACACACACACACAGACAAAGACAGACCCACACAAGCCATTAAAGTGAACACACCAATATATAGAGGCAGGGGCACACAAAGGAGAGGAGAGATATGGGGGAGGAAGACCAAGAAGGGAGAAGGGGAGAATCAAGTGAAATAGGAGTAGGCTGAAAAGAAAAGAGTGAAAGGCAGATAACCAAAATGCAAAGTAGAGAGTTAAAGGATGTGTGGGTGGGACATAACAAATGCACAACACAACCTTTATCCTTGTCTGTGCAGAGAATTGTCTTCCCTAACTCATGTTGTCCATTATTCCCGACAACACAGGCTTTACTCAATCCCTGTCAGTCCATATGAACACCTCAGTGCAGACCGAATAATCTCATCGGTCACACAGGCAGAAACATGACACCTTAGGATAGGGGGGGACACCAAACTTCTTTTTCCAGAGCATAGGTGGAGAAAACCTTCAGTGCAGAAGCTAGCCAGCCTCCACCCCCAGCCTCTTAGTTTCTCTCTGTCTCTGCATGAAAGTGATAGATCTGAGGCTTTATGACCTCTTTATCAGCACAAAGACGGCATTGAGATCAGGGAAGAATGAAGAAAACCAGTCCTCCACTCATCACAACACCCTTTTTTCAGCAGTGTTGTACTTCCTCTAGCCCCTCCTACTTTGCAAAAAAAAAAAAAAAAAAAAACTTTTTTCATTTCCAAATTGCTGTTTTTCATGCCTCCTCTAGCACGTCAAACTATTGCACATCAACCAGTCGCATTTCCGGATGACCAATTACGAACCAGTAATAAGCACAAAGGGTGATATCTCCCACCATGCTTCACTAACTTATATGTGGACTGCTCTACAGCCCATTTAAAGACACACACACACCAGTGGTGGGAGCTAATTCCACTCATACGACAGTTACTGACATCAGTGAGCAACTGCTCCCTGATTGTTACCATATGGTTGAACCAGCTTTCCTGTGTGTGTCTCTTCAGTATTCCTCAAGGAGCAACATTTCAACACGGCTACAGTGACTTAACAACGTGGAAATGGGAGAGCTGGGAATCCCCCGGTTTCTGCTCTGCCTGTGATTTGTGTTTCAAAACATATCTGTCACATAGTAACAGAATACGATTTGATATAAAAATATGAATCTCCCTTTCTATGCCTGTATGTTTCGGCCCTATTGGTCAACCACTGCCTTATAACTGAAGTGGACTCAAACGTTCGGTGTAAGTGGATATACAGAGGAACCAGCGGGGTCACTTACGATGGGTGAGCAGGCGGTACACTTGTCAAAGGCCAGGCTGGCAGGCAGGACGTTGTCGAACCGGGAAAGAAAGCCTCGGATCTGAGAGGGAGAAATCGGCATTTCAATCAAATGCAACATATCATTAGTTTTAGTTTTAATCAAAATGAACTACAATACAAGATGTCAAAGGAAAAATTATGTATTTTCTTTTACTTAATGTGTCCCATAAAACACTTTAGAGGAAACTCGAATTTGGGAGAAACAGTTTTACTGCACCTTTACTCTTTGCAGTTACCTGTAAATGTAATGTTAGTTTTTCTAGAAGCAAAGAGCTCCCTCTGGTGTCCAACAAGCAACATTTCAATAACATCCCATACTGCCATTAACCTGCCATGAACCATCACTCCTTATTATGGCTAATTATCTTCCATTATCATCATCATCCTCTTCACAACACCCTCATTACAAACACTTCTGTGACACGTTTTTCTTTCTGTTTCTTCACCTCTGACATTCATTAAATGACGTCTCAGATTACATACATAAAAGAAAGCGTGAAAGGACCACATGACTATCAAATCTGGAGGTCAAATGACAAAAATATTTCAAACCTGTTACTGGTTGTTTCATATGCAAGTGAGGAAAGTGTAAATTAAAAGGGATTTTTCTCAGTTTGGGTTAAAAAAAAAAACATGACACATTCAATGTTACATTCTTAAAAATCTCTCGTTTGGAGAGATAAATTGACACAAACCTGGCAACCTGAAGCTGTCAGGTTAAGACGCTCAGCGCAAAAGCTATATCAGTACATTAGGTACAAGCTGAACAGTGTTTTATTTTGTTTTGTTTTTAAGTTAGTGTATTATACCTGTATGATTCTCACCTTTATGCCCTTCATCACCAGTCGTTTAATTTAAAATGGCGTATTAAAGGATGTGTGATGGATGGTGAGATGGTCATTTCAACAGCAATAACAAGAATAGCAGATGTAACATTAATGTGAGATTGAGGTGGACAGAGCGCACGTCCAGTGGATTATGCAACAAAAGGGTGAGTGGCTGACTGAGTCAGACGGATGGGTGAAGGGTCACAAACTAGTAGTCTGGGTATTTGATTCTGTTGTGTGTATATACTAAATTATTCAGATATTGATGATTGCAGTTGACTGGATGTGCAAAAGACCTGCAAAAAAGAGAGGACCTGAAGAATATAGATGAACAATATTAATAAAAAATATATAACTTTTGGTACACTACAATGAGTGGTTTCTTAAATGCTTCACTTTAAATATTGTTATAAACTATATTTTAATGGAAGTTTTAAATTCTGCTATTGATATTGTCAAATGTCAAACCTTTCCAGTGTCAAGTGTGATCCATTTTTTGCAGCAAAAACTGAAGCGATAAACATTTTTACTCACTTTTTATCAGCCCTGCAGATCAATCTGGAGCTGAAAAGCCCATTTTTCTTTCATGAGTAGATTCCTCTGTGGGATTCTGGAGGCTTTTGATTGTTTTGAGAGTGGAACTTTGACATTCCCCAGAAAATATAACCCCTGTCCTTCAAAAACTATGACTCCTGTGTTCAGAGAGGACTATCATTCGTTTGACATTCGGTTCACAGCCACATTTCCTGACATTGTTCTAAATAATTGAAAGTGTCAATAGTAACAGAGACCTATTCTGACAGAGATGCAGTGAAACGGGAACAACCCATGACATTGGAACCATGTTGAACAAATGGCAATAAGCCATCAGAGGAACACCATTTTTCTTTTACAATTTTGTTTTCCAACAGTATTCTGGATTATTGACAGGATTTCTTAGCAAAATGCAGTTAGAGAAAAACGCTGTCCTTTACTCTTGTAGCCTTGTAGCGCAGATATTCACAGTTAAACCACTTTATACAGTGGTTTTGTTGTGTTTGTAAGCTATTAAAGTACTTTTTATCATGTATATATACTCACAGACTGATGAACTAAATAGGGTTATTGCAAAGTTCAGGGTCTTGAAGTCTTAAAGTAATAGGCACGTAAAATAGCATCCAACTTATCGGCAGATGATGGCTCAACCCTGTGAGCAAAAATGCTCGCAGAAGGGAACTATCCTGTGATGCTTCTTTGACCGGATTGATAATTACACTTCTCAGTGCTGATCAACCACAACTAGTGAGAGCCCCAAGAGTCTTGAGTTTTAGTCAACTTGTACACAATCTGTCTGTGATGGGTTTCTATGTTTACTCTTAAAGTGCACAACAAAATCACAAAACCAGTGACAGAATAAACAGACTAAGATTTTGCCTCTTTCATAACCCCCCCCCAGCTCTTCTGGAAAAAGTATAGAGAATATTTCACAGCTCTGAAAGACATTAAATGTCAAACCTTTATAGATCAATAGATCAACCTTTATAGATAATTTTTTTGTCATCCACACAGTTATTATGACACATTCTATCCACATATTTTGGATTAGGTACGCATCACCTTTCAAGTCCTTGAGGTATTCCCACCTTTGAAGTGAACGTCAGCATGAGGGTGAGATGAGGGTGCTCACTACTCGCTTTGCAACTGTTATTCCAGTTGGATTTGTGCAGTATGAAGGAACATGATTTGAATTTATATATCTGTTTTAGTAAACTTTCCTATATAAAACATATCTTCTTTTGAATGATTGCTTAATACTGATGTTGTGATGGAACTATGTCTCAGAAAAGTACTCAGAAACATGAGTAGCTTTCAATGGATTTCACCAAAGGCCATTCAAATCTTAATGGACAGAAACATCTCTAAATACCATGGTTTGACAACCAATCATAACACTGACAAATAATCTATGGCCACGAGGAGTGTTGTTTCAAAGCTGAATGAGATAGTTCAATACTGTAAAAATCACCACAAGCTGTCACTGTGGCACTACAAAAAAAGCAGTCAGCACCCCCCACCAGGCAAGCTGCAGTATGCTGCACCAGCACAGACTGAGGGAGGGATGGGAATTCAAGACATGATGTATACAAACATTCAAAGCAAACGCCTTCACTCCTTTAGGCAGATTATTTTTGTTGGCATTTATGTCTTTTAAGTAATTACCGGTTCACCCTCTGTTTAAGAAAAACAAACAGAATGTGTGCGTGTCATTTTTCTAAGGGTTATTTGACTGAAATACCATGAGCAGCAGGCTGTAAGGCTAGCGGCCAGGGGATTCATATTCTCAGGATGATGAATAATCATGATGATGTAAATGTAGGTGGTGAGATGAAGCATCATTATTTGGGTGTCAGGAAATCATCTAATCTCAATCTATGTGGAGACTAGTGTATCCCCTCTTAAAGTGTATCATTCTGACTGCAATGATTCTTACAGAAAACAAATAGTTGTAAAACTAAGGATTTGCCCTTTATTGTGATCTTTAGCATAGTTTCCTCCTCACTTTTAGATACTATCTTTATTTGTGTGTGTGTTTGTTTGTGCATTTGCAGTTTCTCTCATCTCTGCCAACATGTCTTTACTCACACCTGAGTTTTGACTTAAATAATCTCGAAACTAGTTTAAAAATAGCACTAATCTAGGGTTTTGGGGAGTAGAAAATAATAAACCACCCTCTTAGCAACAATGAAGAACACACAAAAATATTTTCTCTCTCGTTAATTCAAACTGTCCACTCATACGCTTGCTAAAATGCTGATAACTCAAAATGTTAAAGTAATATTGAAGTTTGCCTCAGAAAGATCAGACACCTACTTCCGAGGTGTGCAACTTGCACTTATTTGCCACTTGTTATCCTGTGAGTGAGGCACAGGCGATAACAAGATTAAGATTTCCTCTTGTCATATGAGGCAAAAACTCCCCCCAAAAAACAGGAGATTGTCTTTTATTTTACTGTCCACTTAAAACATCTTCTCCATACACCAGCGATAATTATGCTTGACAAACTTGTCAAATCAAAATGACTTTCTTTTTCTAAAGTAGTTAGACCAACCTCTATTTGTGAATATTGGTCAATTCTTAAATGCACCTTTGGACTTTAAAAAAAGCATAACAATAGTGCACCCAAACAATAGCACATTGCCATCACTTACTATTCTCCTTACACATGGCATCGATAAAGCACTTCTGGGACATTACATATTGATGCATGCGAGTCCCTGACCTGATGTGGCACGAGTCCCAGAGATGTGGGAGGTTCATTCATTCTGTCGTCACTGCTGCTGGCAACTGCATACCCTCTAAAGAGGAAGAACAAAATGAACATTTGCAATTATTTTCACAAATGCTTCACATTTAAAAATGTTCACTGAATTAGAAAAAATTAATAAGGAAAACATGCTTTAACAGACAGTGTTTAAGAGTCAGCAAAAATAATCCATTGTATGATGGATACCCGCATTGCTTTCTAAATGTCGTCTTATGTGAATCAAACACAAAGTCAAACTTATAATTTCAGCCTAAATCACTCAAACACAAGTCAAATGTTGGTTTATTGTATTTTTACTTGTTGGCTTCCTTCGGCTAACAAACAGGTAATGCAACAATCAACGTAAAGAAACAAAAAAGTTGTATTTAGGGAAAGAACAGCCAAGATTTTCATCGATGGCTCATGGAAATCAAGCTTTTTGCATTTTTCCACAGGGATTTTGAATCCCTCACTCAAATCGTTTATGATGTCTCCAGCATGGCCACATAGTATTTTCCTGTCTAAGAAAAAAAAAAGTGTCTTTCAACCTCAGAGCTCAGCACCAAGGTGAGATGTTGAAAAGGCTGAGCAAACTTTCCTGTGCACATCTTAGTGGAGTTCTCCCTGGATGGTGTCCATGGAAACTGATCTGAAGCAGTGTCCACTGGAGTGCTTGTTTTGACAGGTCGGCATCAGGTTGCTCAAATTAATGATGGTGACCTTGCTGTTTATACTTGAATGCCATTGCAGGGGTGCAATCCTCCTGCACTTGATGATTATGTTTGTTTGAGCCAGGTGGACTTTTAGCCATCTTATAAGCAGCCCCAATGTGCATTTAGGGGCTCTGAATGTTCCTTGGTTTACAAACTAACCACAAGTTTGAGACAACTTTACCAAATTAGAATTGGCCATAGATTGTTTAGTCAAACAATACAATTGGCTTGGATTTTTTAAAATATTGACTTTCAAAAAGGAATTCAAATGTCTCTCCATTTTCTGCCTCTTGCTTACAAGCCAGATGTTGGCAAATACAAGTAGATTTGGCTGTAGTGCAAATATTTTATGGCTAAATGATATTTTGAGAGTTTAGACTCAAATTAAAGAAGTGTGACTTTTTATTATTATCTCCTGAATACCTGTAAATCGAGCCAGGTTTAATAGATTTTTCCTTCTGGCTCACATCGTGCTGACAGGGGTTTTGCAAACTCTGAAATATATGTTAAACTGATAAAACAATAATCCATATTTGCCAAATATGTCAAACTCAGTTGTTACAAAGCAGGTGCCAGGGACTTATACAGATAAAGAGAAGGTTGAAAAGGGTTAAACAGAGAGGAATAGAAAGTAGGGACATGAAAAGGCCAATGCAACAGACAGAGGTGGAGAGGAAAGAAGGGAGGAGAAAAACCTCTGAAAGCGAGCAAATGAAAAACTCTTCTTTTTTTTTTGCTCCTTGAGATTTTTTTCCAAGACACTTTGGATCAGCTTATTGTATCTCACAATCTGAGAAAAATACTCTTATCAGGCCCAACTTGCAGCTTCTTTAGAAATATTTTAACCCACAAACTCACACACACACTTCATGAGCATAAAGCTCACCATTGAGCAGGTACAGATTAAACAGTATAGGTAAGAGTGAGTAGAATCTCAATGAAAGAGCTTTTGATGCAAAAAAAGAAATGTCGAGGAAACTCTGCTACAGATTTCTAATCGAAAATAACTACATTGCAGTTAATCTAAGCCTTTCCATCAAAACGTCAGCCTGTCCATTCTATCAAGCCTGGGGTGGAGATGAGAGACGTTTAATCATGCCATTTCAGGCACCTGATGGTGATGATGATGATGGTGTTTTACTAGTTTTAGTTTTGATTGTAAAATAAGTCAGAAATAAACTGTGTGACAAGAATCCCATACGTTCCATTCAATAGATTAGATAGATTTAGCAGCATGATATGAAATAAATATATCTCTGAGACCTGGGATCTTAAGATGAAGCACCCAGGAGGAGTGGCCACCAGGGATCATGCAGACGGGAGCTTAGAGAAAAGAGCATCTGCAGCCCTCAAACACACAAAATGTATGCATTCCTCTGAGTAACTGTGTAAGCAAAGCTAAGCCCAGCCTCAATTAGTGCTGCTGCACTGTATTTTCATCATGTCAGATGTAAATTACATATTGTGTGCATAATAATATCAGACAGCCAATAAGTTGGTTTCATCATTGAAATTCTGTGTGGCTCTGTGAATCCTTATATCTTGATGTTATAAAACAATTGAGTCAATGGAGCCTTTTTCAGAAATGTCAACATTTCCATAAAAACCACGAAATAAGCATATAGCCAGATCAGTCCTACCACATCCATGGACACATATCTTTTGCGCATTATTGTCTGAGGGGATCCTTTATCTTTATCATTGAGCTTAAAAGGGACAACACCTGAAAAAAAAGAAGCTTACTTTATTAAATGTAATATCTTTCTCTTTAGGAATTCAAAACTTTTTCATCTCTAACAAAAGAAAGCACCGCAGAGTCTGCTTCTAGGAGCCTCTGAAATGTCAGCCCCCATCTTTCTTATGCCATTCTTTTAAATCATATATTTTGATAACGAAAATGCTGCAAAACAGGTAAATAATTTTACTTGAAGGAGTAACAAAATATGACTGATTACTCACTACAAAAACATTTTACAACATTAAACAAAATATAGATCATTCATGTTTTATGATGAAAACCCATTAACCATTGACCACATCAGTTGTACATTACTTACCCCTCACTATGCTGCAGGATGGACACCATCATCTCAACAGCGAGCGCTCCAGCAATCATGGCCAGGCCCGGTCGACTGACTGTGCACTGCTGATCCAGAGTCCGATCCCTGGTAGACTATTTACAACAACACAGCGGCAAAATAAAAGACTGGCAGTATGATGATGGTATTAACACCACGACGAAAAACCATGTAAAAACACAAACTCTTTGAAACCCATTCCCCTTATATGAAAGAATAGCCTGTTATTTAAATGGGTTTAGGATGGGGTCAATTTAGACATCCCAAGATAATGGTGTTCCGAGAAATATATTCTGCATCCCAAACTACTGGTTTCACATTGGCTGCAACTAATGTTTTATTTAGTAGTAAAGGAAGATTTGTATAGTACCACTGGGTTTTCATAAATAGGGCTATTAATCTGCCTCTGTGATTAATTAGCAGGTTATTTGTCTCACCATCAGCTTGAAGAAGAAATAACTAACCCATAACAACCAGAAAGGGGATGTGTGTAGAGCAAATGGATTGAAGAATGGCTCCTTTGTCTATCCAGAAAACTGAATGACACTTCAATAAACAATTATCAGGATCTTACATTGTAGACAAAGGAGCCTGACTGAGATGTAGAGATCAGAGTGTGTTTAATGGTAATGAGGTGCAGTACAAAAGCCACTACTGTTCATGTTACTTTATTTACTGTGCTCTGAGGTCACTCACCAAACCAAAACTACAATTTGCATCTGGATTTTATTAAGAGCTACTTGTGCTTCTGACTTCTAATACGGAGTGAAACTCTTTGTCTCCTTTCCTAGAAATGTCCTTCAAACTAATTATATGGGCTTAAATGCTCACTTTATGCCTATGTTTTTGTTCTGTTCTAGTCCAACACCTGATCTTTTAAGTTATTAACTAAATAATCCAGTTCAGTGAGATTACCAGAGGTTAAAATCTGCAGTCTGGGGAAGTTGCATTTAACATTTAGGAGTTGTGGCTGCATTTGTAATGAGTGTTGTCACAATCCAAATCTTGGGGGCCAAAGTGCTCTTGATATTTGCACACCTGACGGAAATGAATAGTTCCTTAGCTGGCTTTTACAGAACTCAACAGCAAATTGATCAGAGATCAATTAAATTTGAATCAGTTGTGTAGAATAAGAAACGTCCGTGAATATACTAATCTAATCAAATATAATAAAACCTAATATAATCATGAATGGTGACTGAATATATACAATAAAACTACTTCAGAGATTATTTTTGTGTTTACAGTACCACATGCATTTATTTTGTGAATACTTTTGTACTGTTTAACTCCCCAGTGTGTTTGCCTTCTGTGTGCTTTGCTTACGTCTCCTGGAGCCACAACATCATTGCAGAAGTAGCAGCCCAGCTTGTGTCCAGGGATGTTGGAAAACAGAGAAGAGCCGGGGACAGTGGGCGCAGATCCAGCCGGTGTGGACGGTGAAGAGGAAGTGGAAGAGCCGGAAGGAGAGGAGTCTGTCCCCGTGCAAACACTCTGACTGATAGGGGGCTTCTTAAGGCCATGGCGCATCACAACAAATGTGTCGAAGCCAAGAGCAGCATTCACCACCAGCTGAAGAGTGGGACATGGCAAATGTTGTAATCACTGACCACTTGTCCTGAGAACCCTTCAACCAGATACATTTCTTTTTTCAAATGAGAGTGCAACTTGTCCAATCCCTTTATAAAATCAGCACATTCATTATTCGTCCCAAAAAGTTAAATGATTTCCCAATTTTTACGATGAATATGTTCAATTTTGACTCATTTTTATAGATGAAGTCTGAAAAATGAAAGTTCAGTAAGTGTGTCATTTCACTTTGGCAGATATTATAGAATCGGATCAATGCAGTTTGTTTGACCAAACTAAGGTCTTTTTCATTTAATTCCAAAAACCTTTGTGCTTATTTTTCTCTGCTTTAACATTCACTTTATGACACATCCCCAACTATCTTACAGCGAGCAAAAAAAGTCCAATATTACCTTAAAAATTCTATAGTAGTAGCACACATAAAATAGTATCCGTGTGCGTCCGTTTGTGAATAACAGATGCTGTGCTTGTTTCTTCATTCACAAGAAAGTCAATCAATCTTTATTTTTCTTTTTACTAAGATATTTCTAATCAGTTCCAAGAGACTTTCCATTACGACCCCCAATCCCCCACAGATATGAGCACAGACATACTGATGACATTTTTAAATAGGTAATCAGTTCTCTGTTGAATTCTAAATGTTTGAAACACTAACATCATAATAACCCATTTAAGAATAACAATACCATTAATATGTTGTTGTTTTTAAAGCAACTTAAACTTTTTTTCAATATTTATCTCTTACGCTCTCTCTTTCTCTCAGCTTTTTTCGACAGATCTGAGTTTTTGTGTGCTTGATGTTTGACATGTCAATGGCCAAATGTTTCCCGTTTCCCATTTGACGCTGGGCAGCTGACAAATGGGAGCATTTAGCTGAATACAGTGGTTCACCGTGACTAGAACTGTGGCTGTGAACCACCAAGTGAGTGTACAATTCCAACTAATGAGCTGTAAGTGGCTAAAAAGCTTCACAAAGCATTATGATAATATACAGGGCATACTTCACAGCAGGTGTCCACTTCAATATTGCATGCCATTATGTCCGTCTTTGTTTGCATGTAGAATATCACAAATGGACCTTTAACTCCAGCCCCAGCCCACTGGTTTGTGATTGATCTGTTCTTTACAAGAATGTCCAGTACCTCCTACCTTTCTCTTGCTGGCAGCTATCACTGTTGGCAGCCAGCGGCTCTCCCTTGTATCCATCAGTAAAAACACCACATCATTCTCTGAAATGAGTTTCTCTAGCTGCTCCACATCCCTCTGGGCCTGAGAAATGGTAGCCTGAGAGAAACTGACTGGGTGGCCAGGCATTGGGATGCTCATATTGTAACCTTCTGCATTCTGCAAGAGAAGAAAAGGGCTTCTGAGAAGAAAGACTTGGTAACAGAGGGGGAAAAAATGCAGCGAGCAATAATAAAAATGATTTTTTTTTTAAATATGTTGCTTTTATTGGACACACATTTCTGTCTATTATTGCAACAATTGCAAAGTTTACCCTAAACATGAACATTTTTCCATTCACAGCTCTATCATAACAGGGAAATTATCTCAGTTTGAAAAGGATTTAATCTCCCGCTATGTAACTAATACTATCAATATCAGAGTGCAGAGGACAGAGACACCAGCGATGTCAGGCTCGTAACAGCATTATGGCACAAAAACAGAAGAGTCTGCATTACAAAGCCCTGGTACAGCTCAGACTATGAGCTCAGACATAGCCTTGTGATACAAACATATGAACCTTTTTCACCTTCAACACAGCTTTAAAGTGGATAAACGCAAAATAATGTAACAATACTAGAAATACTGCTTGTGGATAATAATTCATTATTCCAAAGACATTTAGTACAGCTAGCCTCAGACAGAATCACTAGTATATTTGTTATGTAGAAAAAAAAGCCTCTAGATCGCCTGAATTGACAAGAATAACAAAGTCTGTGTGTGCAGAAATTAAGCATACCCAGTGCTTATTTAAGGGGGACAATATGGATGACTAGACATGAAATAGTTTATTCTTTTTTCAAATAACAAAAAACATTGGACCAAATAATTTTCCTTTCATGCCGTTTATTATTGACATGTTGGGCTATTGTTTGGCTCTCCTGTAGAAGTCACTGTGTTGCCTAAAATCATTATTTGAGGTTGGACTTTGAATGGTTCTGTCTACTGAGAGCTTTAAATTACTGTGTCACCCGGCAGTACTGAAAATGTAAATGTCAAGAGTTGTTTCAAAATAAGGACAGAAAAGGGTAAAGATGAAGTGTGAGATTTTAACAAGAAGAAGTGCTGCTTTTACTGAGTCAGTGAATCTTATGCCTTCACTCCCCATATTTCAAGAGTGGGAGCTGTTAAAGTCTTGAATTTACATTTCAAGTTGACGTAAGTGTTGCTAGGCAGTCAGTGTATGAATTCACACTGTGGGGATGAAAATCCCATTCCAAATACCAAAATAAACCTACGTAACCTGTAGCCGAGGGGGATAACACAGACTGTCATAAAGATAAATTATTAAATTATAAACATGTCATGGCTATACAACAGTTTAAAGTTAGCTCTTAACAGCAGTGCAAACAATGCCAGAACAGAGAAAAAATTTAGGGAGAAACAGAAGTCAGGGCCTACACAACCAGCGATCCTTTAAATGTCATGTGACTGTATTTGTCCACAGACAAAATATGAAGTCTTCTGACCTTTTCCACAGTGCAACCTTTTTGTAACCGTTTTCCTTTCAGTTCAATTAATGCAGCTCTATACTTTCAGCATCGGATGCCCTTGTGTTTGTAGAGAAAACAAAAGTAGGGAAAGAGAAAAACAGACTGATGGATAAAAAGGAAAAGGAAAGGATGTAGCTGGAGCGTGCAGACATGTAATAACAGCACGGGGTCATCCATCAATCATGGACCTGTGCTCTGAGCTTTCCATTTTATTCCCAGAAGAATATGTGAAAAAGAAAATGAGAGGTTCCAGTGAGAGAAAAGAAGATGACAACATGACCATCTTACTAGAGTGTTTTCATTTCATAGACATGCAAATCTTCTTGCAGGTGTCACTATAACTTCAGCCAACTGTCCCCGATTACCAGAACAAGCAATACCAGATTTGTAATTGCAACTCCAAATGATGTATGATTCTGAAGATTTTCGGGTAAAAATGTATTACAACTTCAGAGAACAAAGTGAGTCAGACCGTAGAGAATGTTGGATGAGGAGACAGACAAGCTGCAAACAGGAGAACTCACAGATACAACCACTTAATCACTTTAGTCGCTACAGGCATTTTCCTGCACCAGCTGTGCTCTGATTTCACAGCTCTTCTTGTACATTCAGAAATGAGTCTTAAAAAAATCTAAAACAGAAGAAAAGGCTTTGCTACTTTCTCCTTGTATATATCTTTTTTTGATTGCTGCTTGTGACATTCACAGTTCTTCCACATGCAACTATATTAAATAAAAGCATGTCAACAGACAGAAGAGCTGATAACTCTCTATTTCAAACTCACTCACTCTACAAAGACAGTATACCATCACCCCCTCACATTTACGAAACGCATACAGCAACACATCACCAGCTTCATAAAATATGTATTTATTCTACACGATTTGAGGTGGTTTAATGACAGCTGAGCTCTAACATATCAAATCTGAGCCCGGCTTTGAAAACACTGGCTTCTTTTTCATTCGCTAATTTGGCGACATCCCTCTCTCTCTCTCTCTCTCTCTCTCTCTCTGTCTTTTTCCCCCAAACCCACTCATTAATGACTGGAATAATGACAGTAACAGCATTAACATGCAGATAACACAGATTCTCATTCTCTCTGTGGTTTGGATGTCAAATCTTTGGCGTTACCAGGGTGAACAAAGCTCACTATGCTGTTTCTCAAATCCTCATGCTAAAAGACTACTTATGAGAAACTTAACAATAGAAATCTAAAGGGAAACTATTTTTAAGTGGGAAAAATATAATAATAGTATTAATTAAAGTGTTAACCATTACAGCTGAATTTTATTAAAGCTAGTCTCACTCACATGTTATTCTGTTTCTTTTGCCAGACATTTCCACAGAAAAAAAAGGTCCATTAAGACTTTGTGTCAATTTACAGATTTTATAAGCATTTTACAAAAATCACCATTCAAGTAACTCAAATACTGGTGCAGTGCATTTGGCTCCGACAGAGAAATTGAATGGATATTGGATGCTGTCACAGTCAACAGCTTGGTGGAGACATCTTTCAATCAATATCCAAGTCCCCTTTAGTCTACCGGGATGAGGATGGGGGTAAATCTATATTTCCTGTTTGAGGTGCAGCTGCAGTTTCCCTTAACTGTGCACGCAAATGCACCGAATTATTAGGTTCTCAAAAAAAGAAAAAATGAATGTATACTTCGGAGTTGAAAAAAAAATGTTTGACTCACCACACCAGGAAAAATTTTGTTTAGACGGTCAACAGCTGCCATAGCTTTGGATTTCCCACCATTGAGGCAGTCCTCAAACTCATAGAGTGGCTGGCGAACTGGATTGGAGTATGAGATCTTTGCATTGTCGACAAATGTGATGTGTCTCACTCCCCATCCCTGGGGGGTAAAAAAAAAAAGAAGAAATAGGATTTATTTTGAACAAGACCATTAAACCACAATTTTTCCAACATGATCACAGACCTACAGAGCACAAAGTGGGAGTAGTCCAACAGAACAACTTCTCTAAAAAACATCACTGTTAGGAGGCACACTCTAAAAGGAACACCTCTGTGTGCTCTGATAGAGATGCCAGAAAGACATAAATGCAATGACCCATGGCATATACAGTTTTAGTGTAGCAGAAAACACCAGCAAGGACTGAAGAGAAATTCAATCTATTTTTTAAAAAGGTTGGGATTACTTCCACTAGATTTTTCTGTAAGTCTTTTAATATATCATCCATTCCTACCATGAGAGTCCTGGCAACATTACAGCCCAGAGTTCCAGCACCCAGAAGCAGACACCTAGTGTTGACTACTTTGTCCAGGTCCAATGAAGGAACCAGCCTCCATCGCATGAGCTTTAAGTTCAGGTCCACTGAGGATTCTGCAAGCCTGCAGAAAGCAAATTTAGAAACCAAAAGAGCCAGAGTTTAGAAGTGTGCAGAAACAAACTGAAATAATTAAAAAATTAAGTCATTGAATCAAACTTAAAGTCAAGGTGATGATTGTACTTTACCTTTTAGGATCCATGCATTCACTCAGGTTGACCATCCTGGGCCCCATGGCCCCCTTTGGGTTCTTCTCCCACCCCACACTTTTGGGACACACTATAGAAAATGTGGGGGTGTTAACTGATGCCGTGACAGTATACGATATACATTTCTTTTGAGGATTTAGGAGCTGACTAAATGAGCCTCATGGATCTTAAAAAATGTCCATTAATCCTTTTGCAAACAATACCTGGTTTATCATTATTAACAGGTGAACCCATTTTTATTGCCTAATTACATCCTCAATGAGTTAATTAAAAGTCACGATGTGTTCACAGGAAAGATGGAGGAAAACAAAGACGCCTCATCTGAACTTAACAAAAACCTTCACAGATCACCTCGCCACCCCCTTTCTTCTCCCCCCATTACCATTTAAATTGCTTTCTTCCCTTATTTGGCAAACAAACAAAAAAATAACAATGACACTTTATTCCATCTTATTAGTGTTTGCGATGGATATACTCTGAGGATAGTATCCATAGTGACAAGTCTGCAGGTGAAATAGCAAATCTGCGGACAATCTGAGCCTCACAAGCACACCAAAAAATGTCACATGCTGTCTTGTACGCAGCTGCACATATAGAAAGAAATAGAGATTACCAGAGTTGTTGGGAAGTTCGGGTAGTTTGACCTGGAAGATGATGCTGTGCTGAATGGAGCGGTTTCCCTGCAGAGTTCTATCCCTGAAACACAGCACCTCCACTGTGTCCAGCTTAGAGCCCCTGACAAAAAACCATAAAAGACATGTAAGCATAGACAACGACGCATTATACACAGAATAAAGTGTGAAATGTACCCTGGCCATATGTGGCTTAGTCAAATATGTCTTATTAAAAAAATGAAATACATCTCCAATCAAATCTCCCTCTACACAGATGATTGAGCCCTCGTATTTCATAATCAACATATATGTAGACAAGCCCATTTCTTATAATAAAGCACTTATATCCTCAGATGGCAAAATACAAATTAAGCAGGTGAAAAGGGGCTTCTATTAGCATCTTTTACCCATTCTGTGTCTGCAGTTTGTGTTTTCCATCGACAGTAAAAAAAAATAGTCAACCATAAAACTGCTGAGGTTTGAGTTCAATTTTGATTTTAAAGCAGACAGGTTGCTTGAGCAGTTGAAAGGTAACAGGTATCACAGAGCCATGTTTATGTTTGCATGGAAGTTCCATTATATGAGTGAGACCTTTTTGAAACAGCAGCTATTACCGTGAAAAAAAGAGACCTGAATGACAAAAACTTACAGAGTTGCAGTATATAGATGCCCTTTCACCAGATTGTACAATGATCACAGCAGTGAATATCAAAGCAATGGTTTCACGCAGATTCTAAGATGACTGTACAATACAATCTAACTATAAAGTCTCAAATTACATGCATTCACTTGTTTCCTGCTCTTGATTGTGATTTACCCATAGTAGTTGTCACCATGCCTGGTTTTACTCTTGTCAAAATCAAGTTTCACCTTCATTAATATTTCCATTATCTGTGTAATGCTGACTTCTATCAATGTAACATTGGCAAATTAGAGTACAGAATTATTTGAACTGACATCCAGCAATGCTCTGAGAAATTAAATGTCTCTCACATGTCCACAAAGACATGAGAGACACTGAGCTGCTTGAGGAAACGGAGAAAAATAACCTGGGTGCAAGAATGTCAATCATTCCGTAATTGCACCCCTGCTGCAAAAGCGTTGAACTACTGGGATCATTCTGGGTCAGCCACATGTGACTGTGGCTTGTCCAAATCATACTGCCCACCTGCTCCACAGCTTTTAACAGCATCACAAACAGCTCCGGCTGCTGTGGGGAAAACCACAGATCCAAATCCACAGAAAAATAAAGTTACAAATGGCCACAGACTGTTTCAATAACGGTAATGGAAATACTATTAAAACTAATTATTCAATAAGCTAAAAGTACTTGCTCACAACGTTCAGAACATTATTATTCATGTGAGGTCCTGTAACATTTCCCTTCCTTTTCCATTAACACTTTTGTGGCTTCACAAGTCGTTTGATTTTCGGCCTCTAAAGGATGTACAGCTGTGTGTGTACAGAGCTCAAACAGGGCTTCGTTGTCACACAAAAATGACAGATCTTTGGAATTTATAGCCATGATAACAAACATATTGGCCTTACTTTGAGGAAGTTCCAATACAGTGATTTACAGTTGCATTTCCTTGCACACTTCCATACATGGCTCATGACCATCTTTCGAAGCCCTGGCATACCATCAGGAGCAGCTTGTGGTTCAGTCTTATCCAAGGACAATGAAGCAACAACCCACTCAACCATCTGAAAAACTGTCGCCCTATCTTTCATAAAGGGGTCTTTCAAAATCTGTTGCATGCAAAAAAAAGATCCTTCTAGGCACAACTGATAACTTTTTCATCTAAAGACAAATACAGCATTGCTGCAGAAAACTGAAAAACTACAGAACAGTTAAAACTGAAGCATCATCACCATGTGTAATCCCCAAGTGAAAACACTTCTTTTTCTGTTTCTACATCATATTACAGTGATGGGGAACTGAAACAGAATTTTTATTGACTGCATCACAGGAGCAGAAGCTCCTTTATTTGACACCATCGTAAATGACAGTCAGGTGACACCTCTATGACCTGTCATTTGCTCTGGATCCCTGTGCAAATGTGTGAACAAGCTCTACCCAGAATTCCTGGACGAAATGTTTTGCAATATGTCAAACATGACCTTTCACAAGTCACCAGAATTTCAGCAACAATTTAAGTAAACTTACCAACTGAGGTGTCAACGTTAAAACTTTTAAATCTGTAAGAACCATAGTGATGCTTGTAAGTTTTTGTAGTTTTATTAAATGTTGTCATGCTTTTTATTATGGTAATGAAGAAGAAATGTGTTTTTACCTCTTTAGTAAAGTGTTTTTCTTTTGTAACAGAAATTACTGACTGAGATTCTTGTGTGTCAAGAGCCAAGAGGACAGCGTAACAGTAAAATATATGAAGAGAATTATGTGCTACACTATCCTATCATCATGCTTTCAAGCACACGCATATATATATAAAGAGCTTAGAGGTATGATTTACCAACGGTTAGCCAGGAGGGCCAACAGATTTCTTAGCGGCCATCCCGGATGTTGGGACAGTGTACACGGATCATAGACAGCCAGAGTAACCTATAAAAAGAAAGACAAACAAAATGTGTTTACACTACTTTATTAACTCTTTATTATAGTATATAGTATTAAATAATTACTTTGGACTTTAGAAATAAAATCATCAAGAAGTAACTACCTTCTTTGTATGGGTGAAAAATGTCTCCCATTCCTCGAGTGGAGCCATCTGAACTGTGTCATCTGTGTACTTAATGAGGAAATAAGCAACTGCAGTGTTCTCTCTTTGGACACACAGGGCATCGTAGGCCTCCTGCAGGGCAGCAATCTGAGACAGAACTGATTTGTTAGCAATATCCTCAGAATGTACCTCACCGTGTTCAGTTTGTTCACTCACTCACCACTAACAGAGATCATCAAACTTCATTAAGGATAATGCACACTTACAACTTCCTCTTATTGAATGAATTTGTAAACAATGGCTTACCAAACCAGCAGAATAATTCAGTGTCATGGTGTCAGAAATGACATACAGCTGCGCTCGTGTTAGGGGGTGTTTGTATAAAGACGGTTCAGTCTAAAAAGTATTGTCACACCAAAAACGACTTAAAAAAAGGAGAGATTCCACTCACACTGTGAAATACAAATGTAATTCAGTTAAATTAAAAAAGAAAAAAAACAACAACTCGGACTGTAAAGGCAGAATAGAAAACAGATAAATAGAAAATAATATTGCTAAAACCACAAAAACATAAAAAAGTGTCTGAAATACAAACATGTACGCATTTGTTAAAAAATGGTATGAAGCTTCTTCACTGATTGAAAATACATACAATAGTTACAAAAGAAGTTGCTTGCTATTGGAAAACATCAAAGTGTACACTCCAAATTAGTCACTCCATTTGTTGTATCACGACATTTAAAAGCTAACCTGTCTTGCTGAGAAAACCTTCTCCAAAACAGAGGGCTGCTGGACAACCTTTATGCCTTCAGGGAAACACAGTGCAGGGAAGCAGAACCAGTAGTAGAAATGATATTTCTTCAGATCCTGTAAACAGACGGTCAGAGAGGTTTAAAGGCATACAAAAATGACCGCACATAAAGACACAAATATATGAAAAGAAACATTTCCTTGATGCTATTTAGACGTACTGCAAAGGTCAGCAGAATGAATCTGCAGAGGATAGATGGGTCCTTTAGTGCGGCTCCAGACTGTATAGCATCCCATATCTATACATCCAAATTCAATCAAAAAAGAAAACCAGTTGGCAACAAGTTTGATGTCTTCTGAGCAAACATTTCCAAAAGAATGTGTGTGAATAAATATTTTTCTCACTCAATAAACATTACCTCTTTCGCCTCTCTCTCCAGTAGAGCTTTCTTATCAGTGGTTTTGAAGGCTTCCAGGGTGTTGGTGTTGTACAGCACTCCTACAGCTGGACAGCAACGAGTTGGGGTGGTGCCATCTCTGAAAGTACATGTCAAACCATTGCATTAAGCGAGGTACAGGGACAGATTGTCATGAAAACAGTACTATGCAAACCACACCGCTTAAACATTTTACCCAATTCACAAAACAAATATCAACCATACCATGAAAAAGATTGTGCAATCATTTGAGGGAATTGACACACGATGCAACTCCTCACGGTGCAAATCCAAACATTTCGATTTTATTATGTTACTGTGACTGTCGCTCAGAATAATAATCTTTATTGTGACTTTAACTGATTATATGTCTGTGGGAAACTGAGCAATTTCTGAAAAACAACTAAAAAATTGATAAACACACACATAACTGTGTGTGGAGGTTGATTCAGGAAGGTGATTTGTTCCAGCCTCCCATTGTACCATTTGAATGCTGGCAAGAGAATAGAAAAGAAAAGAAAAGCATAGCACCTGCAGACTTTCTATTCTCCAGTTTTCTGATGTGAGGAGGGAGGTGTAAAGAGTTTAGCCTCTTTAAGTCTAAGGGGAGAGCCGCATTGTAAAAATCTTTCTTCTCTCTTTATGCAAATTTGCAGTTTGGGTAGCTGTTTGTTTTTACGATATTTCTATTTGAGAAGAAACATTTCTCTGATCTCCAGCTCTCTGTAAAAACCAAACAGAAGTAAATAAACCTATCAAGGGATAATATTCAGTATTAGTGGTTTTTGAGACCTTGGAATACTATTTTTCTTATGATCTGCAAAAGTTTCCATAAGGCAAGTCCAACACATGTGGTTAGTTAAATGTTAAAAATGTGCTGAATGACACCGTCAACGCTTCCGCCACCTCACGGAGAGCTTCTCAAAAAGCCTGGCCAGGCTGCCACGGGGCTCCAGCTGATGCTGGTGAGCAGGTGGAGGTGAGACAGAGTGCGCAATTTGGATGAAAAGAGCCAGCAGGTGTTGGCTGCAGAGCTGGAAAATGTGCTGGGAAAATGGATTGACTCATGGTGGTGTGCATAGGAGCATTTTGCCCCTGCTTTACATTCGCCAATTATAATGCAAATTATTAGATTAAGAGCAGGACGTATGGAATATTTTCATCCAGCTGAGATGATGCAAATTGAATTTCTGGCCAAAGTATGACTATGTGTTGAATGTGTTGAAAAGAAATTCAACACATTCTGTGAATTTTCTGAAAGTGAGTTCAACGTTCTTATACAGCCAAAATAATTGCATAATTAAATTACAATTCTGTTATGGAAAAAAAACAAATTCACTTATTTAAGTCTTTGATTTAGTTTTTTTTCTAAAAAGTGATTGGACTTAAGATATGCATCTTTGCATATTTGCAAACTCCCTCCTTTAGCTCAGCAGAGTTTTACAACATTAAAAAATGTCTGGTTTTTATCTTACCAACAGCAATTCCTCTTTTAAACTGTGAAAGTGTTTTTCTTTCTTTCTGTTTTGGATTTATCATTTACTGGCATTACAAAATTGAGCGGTGAATTTTTCTGTTGCTTAGGAGCATCCTGAGAAACAACAAGCATTACTGTGCACAGAAAATTGCACACTGTACTTACACATCGAATGCACTGAACTCCAGAGTAAGGCGAGTGGGCAAACCAACTGGGTCACCTGGAATTAGGAAATAAAAACTTTTAAATAAATGTTAAATAAATCATAGATTTGCCAGTCACGTGTAGAAAATGCACCACACAGTGATCTTTCCAAGGACACCTTCTGCACACACAGCTCACCGTTGTAGTAATATCCTTTAATAGATTTGGGGCTCTCATCCAATCTGTAGTCGTTTAGCTTCCTCTGAGTGAGCTGGTGCCAGAAGCCTGCCTCCAAAGCGCTGCTAAAGGGTGCAAACTGCAGTTTGATGTCTTCGGTGGACGAGGAAGCTCCACTGGTGTCAGATGCCATCTCAACTTCACTGATCAGCAGCTGAGCCAAACTCTACAAGCTGTGAAATGACCACAGCAGCAGGTTACAAAACAGTTCAGGCTCACCTAGAACTTAGTCCTTTGCAGAGCAGTGTGGTTGCATGCACAATCAGAAATGTCAAATGAAGTGTTAACTAGAGCCAGCACACAAATTGCTTGAACTTAAACAGCGACTTCCAACCTAACAGCTAAATGTGTCTCTCACTTTTCTGCTCACAACAGTGCTGACGAGGCTGTGAGGGACTTCATTGTTTTGCAAAAAGACAAAACTCGCTGCGGCACAATCCCTGCAATTAATGGATGACAATGAGCTACTGCCAGTCCACTGGAATTTTTTGGGGCTGTGTCTATGACATTTAATAGTCGCATTCATCCAACAGAGCGAGACTTGTTAAGAATGATCTCATTTACTCTGTCAGATTCAAATTACTCAATCAGCTCAGCAGCAAAGAAATCCAAGATGTGAATACCAATCTCCTGCTTTGGAAATATCTATATCTGTGACTGTCTGCTGTGCTAAAATAAGAAACAGTTAAAGGTACACACTGAATTGAAATTTTTAATCAGAGGGTTAACTTTGATTTTCATTAAATGTCCTGGATTTATGGTAATATGGACATAAACAGCTATTTCTCAGCAATTTGAGAAAAGGTTGATTGTATATAAAGGAAATTTATCCTAGAGCATCTTTAGGAAGCAATAAAAAAAACTCTGTGCTTTCTCTAAATTTCAAACCAGAATTTAAATAGCGACTTATTCTGAGTTAAAGTGGTTTTAACATGATAAATAGTTTCCCATAACATTATTAGTTAGAGCTCAGGAGTAAAAGCAGGACAAATATCTACTAGTTAGAAGGCTGGTGTTTCAAGCCCTGGCTTCCACAGGCCACAAAGTGTCCCTGGGCAAATCACTGAATCTCACTTTGTATTTGTTGCGCCCTTCAGTGTGTGATAGAGAAAAAGAAAAACATGGCTATACAACTGCTGAGAGTGCGAAATACTGAAAAAAATCATGAGTGGAAGAATCTGGCTTTTAGTATAAAAGCACTCTGAGTGGTCAACCAGGTTAGGCAAGCTCCATACAATCACATTCACTTTATTCTTTCAATTGTAACATTTTAAGACCTTTAATTGTTAGGTATACCTTCAGCAAATAATGCAGGTCTGAAAACGACAAAAAAATGAAATGTGAGTACTTTGGGTAAACTTTACAGATGGGACTGGTGCTGGATGAATAGCTATGCAGTTACAGACAGATACTCTAACACAATTGTTGAACTGAATTGATGGTTAATTGGACACAAAAAGCTTTCTATGTTGCAGTACAACCCAACCTTAATATTCTTTAGAGCATTTCTGTGTTTATCTTTACATAGTTACGTTTGAGGAACAGCTGCATTTTTAATGGGTAACAGGGAGAGCACCAACAGCTTTGACAGTTTAAACGCCAGCAAACACGTCAAGTGACTCCTAGAAAATTGACCGTAACAAATCCACAATGACATTTCACAGAAGTTCGTTTGGGTTGGCCTTGCATCACACAGACACGCATTTATATGTTAAAGTATAACAGGACCTGTACACTTACCATCAGTGTCTACTTCCTGGTGAAGTTGATCATGTGACCAAGGGACATGCGCATACAGCGGTTCAGTGTGGGGAAGTAGCCGTCGCCTTTAGCTCACACAGTGCAATAACGTCGGCACTTTATGGCGCATGCATCATTGAGTAAAATACGAAGAACCAAAACAGGAACAAGAACACGCAAACGATGAAGCAAGAAAAAACAGACAAAAACCTGTATGCGCCGTTTCTTTTCATGTCGCACCAACAGACCAGTGTTCCGAGGAGGCAGAAACCACCGAGAAATGTGCACAAAAGTCAAGTCGCGCGAGAAGCTCTAAAATGTGGAAACAAAACAAATCCCGTTAACGAAAGTTAACGGTTCTGGAAAAGCAAAAATGCAACATCGTTTTCTTTAGAAATGTCAACTGCAAGTCGAAAATTAGCTCAGTAGAGCCGTCTGAGCAGGATACTGGGTTAGGGACCGTCTCAACGTTACATCATGAAGAAAAAACGCAAAGTTGCTGTTCATCAGTGCTTCCTTCTGCGGTTTCTTTGCCTGCGGGAACCAGGGGCCCATCATTGTGCCATTTGACTGAAGGATTGGCGAACAATATCATTTGCCGTTTTTCGACTTGCATTCAAAGAGTCGATAACTCCTTACTCAATTCAAAACAATTAGATGTTACAAGGATCTATTTACTGTTATTTCTGATTCTCCCACCTATTTGATATACCCAAATACCAATTTCTAAAGGAAGCTGTGTTTTTGCAGATATAAAACGTTAATACAATGATCTGCCAAATTTTCAATATGCTCTAAACTAATTAGGAAATACTGTGGAAATGAAATTCAACATGTTGAAATTATATGGAATATTCTCTGTTGAAGTTGATGCTATAGAAGTTTGTTTGACAAAAAAAAAAAAACACTGAGAGACAACTCATAGGATGAAGCCCAGCTAGAACTAGAGCAATGCCCACAAAATGAAGCCAAGAAAACATGTACAATTTTCTGTATAAATCTGATGTAACTGTGCAAATGAGTCTACAGTCAAGAGCATTTCCAGTGATTTCTTGGAAAGCTGTTAAAACAAACTGTAAGCATGACCCTAACAAGAGAGGAGCCAGTTGAAATAATGAAAATGACCTTACAATACTAGATTAACATGGAATGTTGTCAAATATATTGTGTCATTTCTGATCAGATGTGAGTTATTTGGAACAAGAGCATGGGGGAAAAAATGGATGAAATGGGTAAAAACAAGAGGTTATTTTTCCAAGCAACAATGAACTAACAAAAGATTTATATATGGAAAAATCAAATGTCAGCCATCATCAACACAATCTTACTCTGGGCTAACGAGAAGCAGTCATGGAGTCTGGATGACTGCATGAAAGTGACAGTGATGAGTCACCATCCTCCACATTACAAAAAGATGATAAAACTCATCTTTTTAAAACATATGATGACAGCCTAATAAAAAAAGTCAAATGACCTCTATCGCTGATGATGTGGGGTTGATGTCAGGCAAAGGACCAGAAGAGGCAGCAGCATTACCTTTACATGCAGAGAAGGGCTCAACATGTCTGCATACTTCTCATTTGATGTGTTGAAAGGTTTGGCTATTCTTGGGAAATTTCTTAGCATGGGGTAATGTCATTCAAACATCTACATCTAACACTGATTAAAAGTTTTAGGTTAAAATGAAAAGAAAACAAGTCCTATAAACTCATCTGTCATCTGATCTGAGAAAATTGAATCCTAACAGATGAAGATGATTTTTTATGAGTGAATTCCACACTGCAAATGATTTTTGTTCTGCAGCAAAACTTCTGCAATTTATCCTCACTCTGTCTCATAATTAGTCATAAAATTAAATATTTTCATAATTCTTCATTTCAAAAGTATTTTCTGAGGAATGATCTCTGAATTACTTATTATATTATATTATATTATATTATATTATATTATATTATATTATATTATATTATATTATATTATTTTATGTTATGTTATGTTATGTTATATTATATTATATTACATTACATTACATTACATTACATTATATTATATTATATTATATTATATTATATTATATTATATTATATTATATTATATTACATTATATTATATTATATTATATTATATTATAAGGCACTATTAGGAAACTACACTTGGCATCAAACCCCGGGTACCTCAAGGTATTTTTAGCAGGTCATTTGATAATGAACAACATTTCTCTATTTGATTATGTCCAGTTTTCTGGGAAAATTTTACAATAATTATGAGAACCATAACTATTCTACCAATCTGAACTAATTTGATGATAAAACCAGTGTCAAAACCAGTGTTACCAAATGAAACACATCTTGTACGTCAATTGAAACCAACGTGATTACCTGGTATGTGGAACGGCAAAGGCTAGAGAAGCTGTGCATATATTTCTTGAGTATGCCTGAGCAACAAAAAGGCTGCCTCTGATGCTGTATTTTTATGTCCTGAATAGTTTGTTGCAAAAGCAAAACATTTTAACCTTCATCACAAGGTTGTTTTTTTCTTTTTTGCAGACTGTTACTTTAAAAATCCACTGTATGGTTGTGTGTACCAAATAAAGTGTTATGTATGTAAGAAAATATAATCAAATACGTGCGATGTGCCCACTGTGTTCCTCAGATATGAAATAATAACACATGCTGTGGTTGCTATAATGAGGAACGTGAAGTGATTGCAGAACTGGGCCATCATTTAAACAACTGAAAGGACGCTAATATGAAGAAAAAAGGATGCAAAATGACTAAATGTATAAAATGACCACAAATTCAGTTGCCTCGAAACTCATTCAGTCTAAAAATGTTGTCTCAGTTCAATTGGACGTGATTCCTCATTTCAGGCTTGACCTGTAATTCAGCCATGATGAGGGACTTATTAAATGGCTTACCATTCATTTTTAGACTAGTCTGATAATAATGCCTTATTGGAAAGAAAAATGACTAGACAGCGATTAAACTTTATTTTGAATGTGTCTAAAATGATAGGGATTAAAAAGTACAATAAAAAGAAAACATTAGGTTTAAATTATTCTGAATGAAGAGACTTTTAGTGAAGGACGTGAAGCATTTTTTTCACAGCTAAACAATCATAGAACCTCTGAAACAGCCTTGTTGGATTTGTTCAAATGTGTGACTGTGTGTTCTTACACGCTTGCCTCTTCACATAATTACCACTTCCAGCTCATTTGAAGCCCCCCTTGTTTTATGCAGCTGAGTAGTGACTCACAGCCTGTTCATGCGGTCACACGAAATATTAGGAGTGTCTTTATTAATTTAGATCCTGTTGGTATCCTGACATTTCAGCTTCAAACTGTCCTATGCCAGAGACAGTACTGTCATAGAATGAGTATTATTTAAAATATAATACTGTGGCTTTCAAAAAGTAGATAAAGATGCAGTTTGCTACTAAATTTAGCTTTTTTTTTCCCTGTGTATTTTTGTGCATGATCACACCTGTTCAATGACTGTAAGGTTCCTAACAAAGCACGAGAAATATCAGGTGAGGTATCAGGTATGTTTGCATGACTTTAGACAAAAATAGGTAGGGGCTGGATGAGGCACAAGCCTTTTATCTTGCACCAGGAACTGACATGTAATGTGGTTACTAATCTCCCATAACCCATTTTGATGATACCAAAACATGACAAATTACAATGACTTAACAACATGTACTTTGTGTTTGTTTTCCTTTTTTCATGTTTGTTTCATGCCCATATTTTACATTTCAATTGCTGTACATGACCAGGTTTTCTTCCCTAAAACACATTTTTGTTATAGCAGTGATAAAAAACACAGCTGAAAAACAAGTCAACTGTTAATATGGTGTCTTTAATCTGAATCTGTGCCACAGTGTTTACAAAAATAGAAATTCTTTATAAACCAGCGAGTCCTTTACGTTGGCACCAACTAACATTAAGGACTCTGCACAGTGACAGCAGGACAGTCAGTATGTTCAGGGGTTCAACAAGTCTTCAACACAGAGGCATCTTATTTAGTTTTTTTCACCGTTAGCAGCAAGATTTATGGACAAGGTGAGGGCTCTTTTAAAAAGTTTTTTTCTTTTTAATTTTTCTAAATTAGTTTAACTTCCAATAATGGATCACAAGTGCAGCAAGAACACAACATCTACTGATCAAAATATTCTTTGACATTAAATGCTTGTAGCAAGAGTGTTGTAAACAAAATAAATGAATAACTGTAGACTTTATCCTCAACTTGTTTGACAATCAAAATATGTATTCAGTTAAATTCATGCATGGGAAACGCCCTCCTCTTCCCCGTGACACCTCATATTTTATGCTTTGCTTTTAATATCAGGTCAGAGGTTCATCTTAATAATGTTCTTGAACACCCGCTTGAAGTTTCCATTGCAGAGCGGGTATATGAAAGGGTTTAAAGTTGAGTTGATGTAACCTAACCATATTGTGAACATATGAAGATCATGATGCACACACTCTCTGCAGAATGCCATGACCATAAAAGCTATAAAGTATGGTATCCAGCACAGTAAGAAAGCGGCAATTATGAATCCTAATTGCTTGGCTGCTTTGTGTTCTTTATGGATCCTCAAACTGTGGATTCGGTGTCGTGATTGGTCAATGAACTTGTGCCACGCCTCTCTTAGAGTCACCGTGTTATCTGGATCTATTTTGGCATCTTCAGCCCCTTTCTCTGGCCAGGGCAGAGCTTGACTGGGATCATAGCTGTTGTAGAGGACGGATTTGTATCTCTGAACATCTGACACCTGGCTGATATCACAAACTCCCCTCACAGAGTTTGGCACTGTGACATGACATTCATTTAGAGAGGCCTGAAGTTTGCTTTCATTGCTCCCACAAGTGCAAATCCCATCCTGAGGCGCTGACGGTTGGCTCAGGGGAATATCACAGTCTGGCTTCTTGTCTTCAGGGCTCAAAGAGCAGGTTTTAGCCTTACGAGCCATTCTGAGGTGCTTTGTTGTCACAGCAAGGAGAGACGTCCTCCTGCACTTTACATCAATTTTTTTGGGAGCTGTGAAGTGAGCAGCTTTGGTTTTATCTGAATCTTCAAGAGAGTACGTCTGGGCAAGGGTGTTCTGGTCCAGCAGGTGTTCTTTTTTTGAACGTTTCACGGAAACCTCACATTCTTCCTTGGGGGATTTGGAGTCATTCTCCTCAGGGTTTGGAGCACGTCCTCCATTCTCATTTTCACCAAATGAGTCTGTTGGGTGAATGATTCTCTCTCTGTCTCTTAGATGCTGCCTTACCGCCAAGTAGATATGTGTGTAGAACCACAACATCAAAATAGAGGGTACGTAGAAGTTGAAAACCGCTGTGATGACCTTAAACCACGTGACAAAACGAAAGTCTGTGTCACACTTGTTCTCCTCCTCGGGTTTCAGGTCTACATTTGTGAAAGATCTCCATCCCAGAATAGGGATAATCCACATCATCGAAAGCAGCCAGGCTCCGGAGATCATTACACTGGCTTTTCCTCGTGTTCGATATTTTAGGTACTTAAGTGGCTGTCTGACTGAGCGGTACCGATCCAAACACAGAATAAACAAGCTAAAAATTGAGGCCGTGCTGGCTACATAGTCCATAATGAGCCAAAACTGGCAAACCGCCCGCCCCAGTTTCCACTCGTCCTCCATGAGATACACCAGGTTCAGAGGCATGACGGTGGCCCCGACAATCAGATCTGCCACAGATAGACTGACAATGTAGAGGTTTCCAACAGTGTGGAGGCTCTTCTCTCTCTTCACAGCATAGAGCACAAGCAGGTTCATTATGATGGTGAGAAGAGATAGAAGTCCCAGGAAGACTCCCAGAAGGGCGTTGTGCAAGTGATCATGGAGAGTCAAGGTGTTATTGTGAGTCAAAGTGTCACTTTCAGGGCCACTACTCCAGCTCTTATCAATAGAGTGGACATTGCTGTTGGTGTTAAGGTATAGTGGGTCTGTGGGAGATAACAGACCAGCTTCCATCATTTTAGGTTTTATGGAAATATCTGAATACCGTCACATTGGTCAGCTGTTGAATGTTTTCTATGTATCTGTAGGTTAATTTTTCAAGACGGTTACTCAGTTTGCGAAAGACATGTTTTGCATGATGATGAGTGGATCAGAGAGAACGTCCTTCTTTTTTAGCATTAATCATTGTTTTCTTGGCCAGTGGTCCATTTAGTTGAAATTGTCGCATCTGAAAAACAAAAAATGTAACAAATTAGTTTTTTTTTACTGCATTACTTTTACTGCATTACACAAACGTTTTATGACTAACAGTAATTTGAAACGCTTCTTAAGATGCTTGTTTTAGAATATATATTTAAGAGGGCTATCTTTGAATAAAAAGTGCAGAGAATTTTTTATGCAAAAGGTAGACGGAAAAAGTATAATCAGTCAGCAAGTGCCACCATCAATATTGTAAGCCTAAAAGGCAACATCCAGGTCAATATTGTCTTCAATCTCTAGAAGTCTATATAACCTACAATTTGCATTCTTCCCTCTTTCACTGTCCATCTGGCCTAATCTAACACCTAAACAAGAGGAGGGCGGCAAATCCCATCAACAACACAGCAGCAGTCAATCTGTGTCATTTGCCAAAAGGAGTCACTAGTGTGTTGCCAGGGCAGTGGGATGGATGTCCTTCTCTATGATTTCTTAAAATCAACGCGACACCATATCAACATGTGAAAAGCACCACAAGACTGATATTCTGATATTATCCCTATGCAGTGAGAAAACCAGTTGGGGCTATCAATTCTTGTGTGAGGATTAGATTGAAAAAAGCCTATTGCCATGAGTACAGGTGCTACATTTGGACATATCTTGTGTGATTAATATTTGTATTCAACTATTCCAGTTTAACCTTTGTTAGGATCTCCATGTGTCATTTTGTAAGTTAACACTCAGCAGAAGAATATACCCTCTCAAAAAATAATAATAATCGCACTTAGAATTGGCCAGTGCTGGAATTTTGGAGTATAAAAAGCATAATAATTTGATCAATCAATCTTTCTTTTTGATCTGTTGTATGTGAGAGTGGTTACTGAGCCATGATACAAGGAAGAGGATGGAAAAATCCATCAATCCTTTAGTATGTTAGGAAAGAGAAAATCACTGGTGAAGTGCATCCCTAAAAAGTGAATAATTCTATTTTAGTTAAGAATAAAATTGGGTAAGCTTGTAGGAATAAAGCTGGCTTGGTCTTCCTATGTTCAGAGCGAGGAAAGGTGGAGACACAAATGCAGCAGTTATGAATGGGTGATGTATGGTGGACGGTCTCCACCATAGTACACTCGGGAAACGCAAAACAAACCCACAAAAAAAACATACTACACACTATGACTCACATCCTGATTTTTTAAAATCTGACAATGTCAATGTTTCTAAGTGATAGTATAATTTAAACCCATATATATACGTTTTGCTTTATTGTAACTGCCCCCGCAACATAAATCTTTAGGAACCATATTACTGACATATCACAGACGTAACAAAACAGGAATGGAAGGATGGCTCAACCTGCTGCGGACTGATCGGAGGCTATTACCGCAGGCTATTGCTACTGTAATTGCTACGATATGATTATCTGTACTAACCACAACCTGAGTGATGTGCAAAAAGGAGGATGTACATTATAATCGCGTTAATCTTTGTGTGGCTGCGGCATGATGGAGCCCATCACAAAACAAAACTAAAAACTGCAATCCTGTGAAATATTCTAAGCGAAGAGAACCACCTGTTGCTTTGGAAAATTAGCCAAAAACTTTTACAGTCTAGCAAATTCATAATTAGGAATCTGAAAAATTACGGTCCCACGGCTTTGGGACTTGCCAAAGAAGTAGATAGATCTAAAATGAATAATTGTGCGTCTGTTGGTCGCAAGTAAGAATGGAAAAGCGAGTTTCAGACTCACCTCTGGTGACTGTGGATACTCGGAGGATTACTCATCGCTCCAGATTGTATTCCAGGTGAAATCAGAAAGTGACTGATGGATAGAGGTTCAAATGGCAAGGAAAGCCTCTTCATCCCGTCTCCCTCCCTCACCTCACTCTCTCGGTCTCGCTCTTTCTCTGTGAACTGAACTTTGGAGTAAACGTGCACAGATGCAGGAGCGCGTCTGCAGCATTACGCGCGCGTTACCGGCGCTGGCTCTTCCGCGAATTGCGGTTTGCAGTGCCATGATTCAGGAGATGATTCACTTACACGCAAACTGTGAGCAACTTCCTCCGACTCGTAGTCTGGTCTAGTGTAAATGGATAAAGACCTTTTAGATTGGCGTATTGTAGCCAAGGAATCTAGCGCGCAAACGCACACTCATTGTTCCACATCTCAGAGTTATTTGGTCTGACCTCTGGCCAGTCAAAGGAAATAAGAACACGTTTTCTTATCGTGATCTCTAATCGCTTTCAACTGTTGATATCTAAGGTTGATTTATTGAGCCACATTACGAAAATGACGTGTCTTAGGGAGAAAAAAAATTGGATGGATCAAGGGAAACTGTAGACGTCATAGGCCAATAGCAGAGATAGGTCAGAGGAATTCCCTACCTTATAACAAGAAGGTGATTTGTCTTGCTGTTTTTAACTAGTAGAGCTCAAGACAACATCAGTAATAAGCAAGCGTAGGCGAATTTTACCTGAATGTTTTCTGCTTCTATCAGTGATTGTTACACTGCAGCAGTATGTGGCATGTGTCTGAGGGTATGTGGGGGTATGTGGCTGTAAGATCTAAAGAGAGATGGGACTGAGAAGAAGGAGATGAAGATGGGTGCTTTTCAGATATTCACTTCTCAGTCATATCTACTCAGTAGCTGAGGGTAACATGTAATTGATCTGATTACCATACTTAAAAAAAATCCTGTGCAATGTCCAGTAAGCACAATCAATCCAGTACTACAACTCCTTGCAAAGCCAGCAAGTTCAGATGTGTATTTTGTTGGTCCCTTGAAAACGCTAACATTTCTGTTTTGTGTGGTAATAAGTATTAACATGAAAATGAAGTCATGATATAAAATTGCCTAATACTTGTCCTTATTCTAATTTAGATAAATTACAAATATACTTGGCAAAAGCTGTCCCATCCCTTTATTGTCCTTTTTAACGTGGCACAAAGCAAATAACAAATCAGCTTCTAAGAATTAAAATCCTACTTCAAGCTATGAGACGTTTGCAAACAACACAGTCAGTTTTCAGTGTGGTAACTTTAGCTGGAGTCATCTAAGCTCCCAGAGATACCGACTGTTGCACCACAACAGCACTGACAAAAATACAACATGCTTAATAGAATTTAGATTATCGCGCAGCAATGGGGTGATTAACTCCTGATGACACTGCTGATACACTGACTCTGAGAATTAGTCAGAGATGAAGCTTACTCCTCTCGGATGTGAAACAGTTGCTATGCCTGGATTCTTTCCGGCTACTCCAGTTTACCCCCACACTCCAAAAACGTGCCTGTTAGGTTAATTGTTCATTCATGTGTGCAGGGTTATTTGTATGCCTCGGTATGGCCCAGTGATGGGTTGGTGACCTGTTCATGGTATACACTGCCTCTTACCTATATTGAGCTGGGATAGGCTTCAACCCCGTGAGACCTTACAAGGAATAATAGCGGTATACAAATGGATATATGAATGTGGACTTTTTTCTCCACTATGACGACATGCAAGGTTGGACTGCCTGACAGCCACTATTGATCATTTGCTATTCTAGTATTTCACTGCAAGGTTTTCTGAAATAAACAAAGATAGCACAAGAAATGATTACATTGTTTTTAAAGTAATTCATTGATTTATCAGCTTGAATGGTTGCTACAGTCAGAACCGGGACACCGGAACCTATTCCTGCTGTCATTGGATGAGAGGTGGGGAACACCATGGACAGGCTTCCACACAAAGACGAATGATACACAACTGTAAACGCACGTACGCACCTGTGTGGGAGGAAGCCAGATTGCCCAGAGAGAACTCATGCATAAAACAGGGAGAAAATGGACGTACACAGGGATTTAAAACTGAAAACCTATTGCCGTTGACAGAACTGACCACCATACCACTGCGCCGCCCCACCAAGGATGATCATTCAAAAACAAAACATGAATGTTCTCTTTATCTTTCGCTTTTAACAAACATTTCGGTGATGCAGACATTTCTTCGGGTTTCTGAAATCTGCAAGACACACCAGCTAGTATTTCCAAACGAAACAAGTCAGGCAGACTAATGATAGCTAAGAGCAATCTTCCATCATAATTCTGTCACAGCTTGAGGTCAGACTGAACACTTTTGTTACAAAATACTAAGATAAAAAATAATTGGTTTTGCTGAGCTGTACTTTACATTTCCCAACAAGTGGAATTCACATTAATGTTGTATAATTTCTTGTTCAAATATGATAAGATAATTTCTTCATAATAATATTATTATGGAGATGACATTGGAGTGCAGTTGTGGTGTCATTGCCTCACAGTTTGAACTCTCCAATTTTCATGATCCTCAGGTGTTTGCAGCTTTGGCAGTTTCTTCCTACAGTGTAAAGACACATGGGTTAAAAATAAGGATCACTGGAGATTTGTAAGTACGATGTAGCTGTGAGTAAGCATGGTTGTCATGATGATCCAGTCCCACACACTGAAAAAAACAGTTTAACAAAGTTGGAAGCCTAAAAACACTACGTTTAGCATTTCAGCCCAGTTAATCACGCTATGAATGCCCAGATCATGCCTCTGTCATGTACTGTGATTTAATTACGTCATCTTTAAATGGTCGAAGTGATTGTGTCCTCAACAGAATTGGGTTCAAATGACTCATAGCAAACCTTTTATTAGTTTAATAGTTTCAAATGATTTTTTTATAGGAAATT